TTGGAGACATTTTTACGGGCTCTCCTTCGGGGCGACTCAAATTCCGTTGAAAACCGCGTGATTTTAGTTTGTTTAAGTGCCGAACCTAAAGAGCCCTGCCATGTTCAATTCCGCCAAGTAAAACGGCGGATATAGGTACCTTGAATGTATGAAAAACTGCAAAAACTAATTTCTACTATTTCGCGTTTCTCTTCGAATTGATTTTACCTACATTCATGCTTGCATTATCATATTCGCGGATCTGTGTGAAAATAGGTCAAAAATACATCGATACGCGAATAATATGTCTATTTTATCCTAAATTGATTGTGGTGACGCATCTGCGGTTCTTAACCAATTCCTTTAATATAGATGAACTTTTGTGTATTTTCATTGGAGATTACTGAAATCTGATGCGCATAAAAATCTTATGCACTTTGCGACATTTTTAGCCATTTTTACGATTTTTGCATAGTAAAGTGCGGCACACTTTGGCAGCTAAATGAAACATCGAAAAAGCCGCATGCGCAACAACTAATTTCCACTAATACGCGAAATGCATGCTTTTCAATATAGATCATTTTTATGTGCAATTATGCAATATATTTTGCCATTTTTGACGCCGAAACTCTTATCAGATGAATCTACCGATATTTAACAATCATCTAAAAGAATTTGAAGAGGAAAGCATCGCATATTTTAGAAGATTGAGGCAAATCCGTATTCCCTTAACCATACTAAAAAAATCGAAAATTCATATAAACGTTTTGTCTTAATTAAAAAAAATATTTTCGGATATCTTCTTCTTTGTTTTTCACGATTATTAACCTATGTACTAAAAAACCATGTACCAAAAACAATTTTCAAACTTTTTTATGGAATTTTAAAAGAATTTTTTAATTTCCCATATACGCGTTGAAAATTGAATTAAATATCCCAGCTTACATATTTCAACATTTTATTGTTTGTCAATGATTTTTATAAAAGAAATAGGCGTTAGTAATTTATGTAAAATAAGGTATTTATTGTATAAAAAATATGTTTTTTATTTTAATATTTCAACAATTTGTGCAAAAATAATTTATTCTACATAACACCTATGCATTCCTTTTATCAGTTTCACATTCGAAGTTGACCAATGTCCCAGACAATAATCAAGCTTTTGCCATCTCTAATCGAGCCGATTCAATATCACATTTGAATATATTTCTCAATTCCTCATCCTTTGTACATTCATCGATAAATGTGTTAAAATATAACATAATCATTTTCATCGATCCAGGCATGTTAGGCTGTAGAGATCTAGCATGTAATATGCCAAGTTTATAATGGGCGTTCATACATAGTATATTCTCGTCAAGGGTCAAGTTAGGTTTAAAGAAACTAGAACCACCTTTGCACGAGTCAATAACCTTTTCGAAGCACTCAATGGAATCTGCTCTTAGCTGCTGGACATCATTGCAATGCAAACGGGACTTGAGAATAATCTGAATACTATAACACATAGCCATGTCATACCAACATTGGCGACATATTGACAAATGTGTTTGCGTATTTAGATTGCCAAGTAGTTCTTTGTAGATTTTGATACGCATATTTTGCATTTCGAATTCATGTTTACCGTCTTTTTTAAAATGGGTTATTTGGTCGTAAATATCGGTTAAATCCTTCATTACATCGACATACATATCTACATTATCCTTGGGTGTGCAATATTTCTTGGCTCTTTCAAGACATTTTTTAGAGAATATGAAAATTTTATTGGCATCCTTATATGTTGTCACGTAATCAGCGGTTATTTCACTTTCATATAGAGCTAATGGTAAACGATCATATAAGAAAGGCATATCGGTGTCGTTCAATTTTATGCTGTGGACGCCTGGAAATAAAAAGAAAAATAAGTGTAAGCAAGGATAATGTTATGTACAGAAGAGAATTTAAGCAATTCATCTTTAAAAATATGAAGTTGAAGGGTTAATGATGGGACATTACAAAATTGCCAATAGTAGAATTTTATTTTGTTATGTTATGATAACTTGTGTGGATTAAAATTTTGCCCTTCGATCTTTTATTTGTACTCCGTATTGGACTTTACTGAAATGCATTACGAAAAATTAAATTGCATATGTAAATGTGAATTTATTTGTTTAGTGAGTAGAAATTCGCGTTATCAATCAAACCTATCATACACATTTTTGGAATTAGAAAATGTGAATTGTGGAAGAGTGAATTCACATTTTCCAATTCCTAAAATTAGTTGCATTTATAAAGCGGTTTCATCCTACTCTTTAAAAAATAAATTCAGTTTTCACATGAATTAGGTTTACGGATATTTACTTACCTGTTGTTAATATATCAACTATCTCATCCAAACGTTTCCTTGACTCCAACAACAGAGCAATACCGTATTTTGCCCGGCAACGATTTAAATAAGCAAATACAAATTCGACACGTTGATGTTGAATCGGTAAGGTCTTCATTTTAAATTCATTTGCAAAGTAATTGGCTGCTGCCAAATATCGTCGAGCTTGTTTGAAGTTATTACTTTTAGCATACAACTCGGAAACATTGCCTGATTGCAGTGCCAATTCATCATTTTTGTACGATTTACTTTCAAATGCCAGCTTCATAGATATGTAGTGATATTTGGCTGACATCGGATATATGCCCAACTTTTGATATACTTGACCTAACATCAATGTAATGGTCTTGTAGAGGATGTCCACTAGGCGGAAATTTGTAGTATCATAAGCCTCTCTCTTATACCTCTTGTAAATCGTCTCCGCATCCGCAAGAGCTTTTAGAGCTTTTTTATTTTCCGATTGTTCAATGTACAGAAAGGCCAATTTAAGATATGCTCCAATATATAGCAAAATAGCTTCCGTTACAAAATTTCGAGTTTTTATTATTTTAATGCATTCCTTCCAATGTGTTTCGGCCATGGTAGCATCTACACTGAGACTAGCAATGTCATAGCAAATAGTTGTCAAAAGAATTTGATATTGAAGTTCCTCATCGCTGTCCTCTATCGTAGTTATAAATGTCTTAAGATCCTCTTTCAAATGTAGCAGGGATGAAACATTTTTTAAAGATCCTGGCTGATTTAATTGCCTATAGCATTCATGAAATGTTCTTTTCATTTTTAGGTGATGCATTTTCGATTTACTTTAGATTACCGATCGATGTTTAAGCGACGACAGATGAAATTAATCTGAACGTTTGTGCACAGGAAACATACCACTCAAACTCTTGAGATTTAAATAGTAAGCCACACCAGGGTGTTGCCAGATCGACATGGATATGAATACGGTAAGAGTAATTTCGAATTGTATGCGTTTCCAAGAACAATTTGTCATATTCATATTGACACTAGTATTACGTTGGAATCAAATCAGCTGGGGTTTGCTGTTACCTTTTATAATTGTACCATGACAGTACTCAAAACAATACACATACAAAATATATATTTCGATTTGATAGAAAAGGCGATTGTAATAATTGTACCATGATTCATACTAACGTCTTGCCATTTTTTTGTTAAGGGATGATGTTTGCCGACTACACTTCTGAGAATAAAGGAAACAAGTGGATATTAAATTGATAAGGGAGAGATATTTATTTTAATATATTTATCGGACACGTCAAAATTGAACATGCAAGGGAACATGGCTCGATTTGTATTGTCTGTTGTCATCACGTACGTGAGCGCCTTTTTGGGAGATTTGAATCAGAAGAGCATAATCGATTAATGGTTTACAAAAAACAATAACTGTCACTATGACCCGAAAATGCAACAGCCACAACTAGAGAGGAACTTGTAGCTGAAATATTTAGAATCATAAGAAAAATGTGCATGACTATTCCCTGATCAGAATAAAAATATTTTTGGTAGTAAAAAAATAGAGATGTAACAGTAATAGTAAGTTACTGTTCCCTCCATCTTATGCATAAAAATGCCGTGCAAAACCAGTATGTTCAGAATGTAAGTCTTAAGTAATTCAGTTAGTTACATCTCTAAAGAGAAGACAACATTTTTAAAAAATCTTTACAGTATTCTGAGTTATAATTACTTATACTAAATTATAATAAGTTTTATTTACTGATATGCTAACATATGGATTGAAAAAATCACAGCCCACCAACTGAATGGAACATCTACCTAGCCCTCAGAAAAGTAACCTCTTAAGTCTTCATATTTGTTTGCACACATTTCGCCCACATTGCACTTACACATGCCTTATGGGACCACACAGTCATCCATCTATATGTTTGTAGAATATTTCAAGGCTACCAATCTTGTATTATTCGTTATACGCCTCTCATAAAGCAATGAAAAAAGGACAATAATACATACGATTTGAGTTCACAAAATTATTTTTCAATAATATGACTCAAATGTTACATACTCATTTATCAATTATCTTTCGCGAATTTTAAAAAGCAATTGCGGCAGTCATAACCATGTTTATTTTGGAATAAATGTATTGCGTGCGGCACAGAAATATATTTAATATTTGAAGGGCAACTTTTGAATCCATTATACCAATCCATTGTTGATACAATACCTAAGGCCTTATTTTCGAAAACTATTTACTGAAGTTAACGTCTGGATCTAATATCAATTTTCCTAAAGATAATAATACCTGACCTTTTTCTTATAATTAAGATATAAACACATATATTCCAATTTTTAAATTTCAATATTGCTTTATTGAGAACAAAAAAAAAGTTGCAAAACATAACAGATAAAAACGAATCAATCTCAATTATTATCTTGAGAAAGATTGAAATTAAAAAGCTTAAAATAGATTTCAATATCTAAAGTTTGTTAGTTTAATAAATACAAGTCATATTATTTTTTTATAAAAGCATAAATTATCTAAACATGGACAAGAATTGAGAGGTATGTAAGGCTGAAAACACAAAGAAATGACACGCAACGCATTGTCTTTGTGCTTCTTGTGAGAATGAAATGCATATTTTGTAGCCAGCACAAATGTTGCACAGCACAGCGCGATCGTTTAAACACGCAAACGTTTTTTCACATTTGCTATTTTCATTGGCAATAAATTTACCATTTCTCGACAGACACCAACTTCAGCCTGCAATGCTTTGGCTGGCTCCTCCAATTTGGCGCATTCATCAATGAAGGTTTTATAATATTTAAGGCTGTTGCTAAGATTCTCTAATTGTAGATTCTGGTCGGGAGTTATAATTTTATAGTGCAGTCTTCCGACATGAAAATGTGCGTACAACAGGGTTCGTTGCTCCTCCACATCCATGTTGGGTTTCCATGAACCATCCTTTTCGGTATACGACTCGATGTAGCTTTTAAAATGTTTAATGGCTTGCTGGCAGACTTGATTGATTTTACTTAATTCCTGGGGATTTGGTGTGCGACTAGCTTTGAGTAGATCTAATTTAATGTCGAGTATGGCGCTATAAGCCAAACCCGCTCCATACCAACATTCACGACATATGGACATGTAGAAGGTTGGATTGAGCAATTCAATAAGTTCTTCATAGTATTTGGCGCGACGTTTTTGCATTTTCGATTGGTTGATGGGATCCTCTTCGAAGAATGCAATGTGCTGATACAGTTCGGCGAAATCCTTAATGATTTTTGCATATTCCGTGGCATCGGTATCGGGTTTGTAATGTTCTTTGGCGATATCAAGCCATTTGGTAACAAAATGATAGACTTCTTTGGCATCGTCAAATGTTAAACAATAATCACAGGTAATACGTTTCTCGTATGCTTCCAATGGGAAATCAGCAAAAAGGTATGCATTTTCATTGATTTTCAAACGTTTGGCATCTGAAAATAGGAAAATTCATTATTAATAATTTAATCTTTGTTATATACAGGTTTGCGAATACATGTGTAATTACTGAAATCAAAGTTATTAATTTTCTCGGTTAATGATTTAGCAGGTTTAAGTGTTTTTTTTTTATAAATTTATACATTAAGTTATAATTGGTACGGTATTGTGTTTGATTTGCCAATGAGATTGGTCGCGACAAAAACGAATATTTTTACTTTTGAATAATTGTACTTCGTGATCTTTCTACCTGCTTCCTACCACTACATGGCACCAATTTCTAATAGAAAACATATTTTTTTTTATTTCTTATGTCAATCATAGGGTAAAAAAAGTATTGATGTATAACAACTCATGTTGTTTTCCAGGATTTTTATGAAACTTGATGTTTTTACTACCTACACTCAATACCACTTTTTAAATTATGCTGTGAGATGTTGTCAATGCCAAGGCATCTTGTTGAGTATTAGGAATACAACCACAAGGTCAAATACTTTTTTATTTTCACTTTAAGGAGATTTTTACGTTTAACAGTTTCCATGATGATGGATATATATAGCCGATAGTTTCACTAAATTCACTACACCTTTTTCAAATGTTATTCAAAACATTTCAATTTCAATTCGAGAATTATATTTGTAATTCGAGAACTCAACTCATTTCAAATGTAATTCGAGCATGTAATTAGTAATTCACAACATTTCATTTGAATTTCCATTTTTCATATGAAATTCCAAAAATTCCTTTTGAAATTTAAAAAAATTGTATTTGTAATTGGAATATTTCCATTTGAAATTCAAAGAATTCAACTTGAAATGTATAGCATTTCATTTGTAATTCTAAAAATTTCAGTTGTAATTCGAAACAATTCATTTCAAATTCATACATATTTCTTGCGTGTTACCAGTAATATTTTTCAAATATAAAATTAAATTTAAAAACAAATGAAATGCAATATATTTCAAATCAAACATGTTAAGAATTTCAAATGGAATTATTAAAATTTCAAATCGAATTTTATTAATATCAAATGGAAGTTTATGAATTTCAAATGGAATTCTATGAATTTTGAAATGTATTCTATTAATTAGAAATGTAATTCTCGAATTACAACTGATATGTTATGAATTGCAAATGGAATTCTCGAATTGCAAATTGTATGTTGTGAAATACAAATGGAATTCTCGAATTACATTTGATATGTTTTGAATAACATATGAAAAAGGTGTAGTATAAAATGTATGTTCTTCCAATACAAACTACACAGTATTCAGCATTTCCCTTTATATAATCAAAAAGGTAACAAGAGAAGTTGTCCAATATAAAACGTCTTCGGATTTAATGAAGGTTTATTAAATGGAACAACCAATTCGTTTTATCTGAAATTTACATGTTTTTTTTAGTTTTGATCTTTTTGGGGGAGGAACCAGAAGGGTCTCATCTTCAAGATTATACATTTGATTTAAACATTTTCAAAATGTACCACATGGCCTGGAACGATCTGATCTTCGGACTTGATCTAGGTTAGGTTAAATTTTACGATGTACACTGTTTCAATCAAATCGATTAATTTTTGATTTTACACAAAGCAGATGGAGGTTTTGGTAAAAAATATTACGATATGCTAAAATGGAACAAAATCGCTTTATATTGGATTTACATTTTTTTTGAAACATTGTGGGAATGTTCCAGAAAGAGTGGACAGGTAGTCCCATTTTAGTCCAATGATACGACACACTTTTATCGTAGCAATGTCTATATACCCTTATTAACAAAAAGCCTGAGGGTATAAAAACCTATTTTAAATAAAATAGGTGTAACAATGTATGCACCTATTTTTCATACAAAACACTACGAATATATATGCAGGGACTAGAAAAGTATTTGAAAATTAATTTCCCCCTTATACTTGGTAATATATGTACTTAGCTACGGCACCACATTTTTTGGAAACTCATTGTGCCAGTATTTTTTTCATTATGCAAAACAAAATGAATATCTAAACTGTCTTTTTATCAAAGAACTGTAATTAGAATCACATAGGTTTCTGACATATAATCTAATGTGTATGACAAATTACTTTAAGTGGCTTATGGCCTATCAAGAAGCATTTTCTAAGATATATGCCAAACAATCAATCAGATAACAAGTAAAAGCGTCATTTGTAAGGTAAAATAAGTTAAATGTTACGTCAAAAAATGGTTTTTTTGTAGTAGCTTTTGGATGAATATACACCTAAGTTTTACACGGTAGATTGGTTCCAGAAGAAGCCGTGTAAAAAAAAAAAGCCGTGTAAAGACATTGATCTTATACATAAAGCGAATTCCCCTAAATTAGTGCTTCACATTTGCTTTGACCAGTAAAAATTGTTTGTAGGCGCTAAAGGGGAATTCACATAAATCTTTTAGCTAGTGTTCGCAAACTATACTTCGCAAAAATTAAATTTGACAAAGAATGGAATAAAATCGTCTAAAAAAAAAATAAAAATATTCAATTTTCAAACCGTGTTATATCAAAACCGTGTACAAAAAGACCGTGTAAAAACAGACTTAGGTGTTCATCCAGTTCATATTAGTCCAAAATACAATGACTTATAGTGGCATTTTTAAATTTGTCGATCGACGATATTGCGAAAATTTATGTTGTAGTTCTTAATAATCTCCTTTACTTATAGTCAACGTCGACGTTCTATTGCTAGACAATTCGTATTGACATTTCATTTGCCGTCGTACCATCCGGCTCATCCGTCAGAACTTCATAATCTCCCAAATCAATATTCTCATAATTTCGTATATATTCCTATTAACAATGCAGATATTTATTCAAAAGTGTATCGGTCCAAAATGCGTATGATTAAAATCAACAGTGGCGGCCCATGTTCTCTTAACCCTTCCAAACATATTTCTTGATTTTTCAAAGTTTAACAAAAAAATCGATATTATCCAAACCATGGTATAATTATTACAAGGTAGGGCACAGCTACCAACTGATTACAATTTTTTCTCAAGGTGGCTTGTTCCATCAAATCAAAATACTTTTTTTTTGTGTGTATTGGTTTGAATAGTATGTCAAATAAATTGAAAAATATTCAAATTTAATTGAAATGAAAATAAAGTTTTTAACACTTTCGTCTGGAAATAATTACTTTGTTATGGATGAAACAAACATTTTATGGTATTCCCTACAGGATTTTGGGAAGAAATCATAACTTTTCATTCATTTTTCGCGTTTTTAATTTTGTGTTGAGGAAATGTCAAATAAACACAAACATTTGTTGCGTATATTTATTTTATTTTTGGCAGAAGAGGCCACACGTGTATAGTTGCTTTTTTGTTATTCACCTCAAGCTGTCCTACCTTGATCCAAACTATTAAAACAGTTGTATGCACAATTTGGAATGTTGTTTCAGTAGTATTGTTTAAGAAATAATCTATACCCCTAATGTTTTGTATAAGAGATGAAGTGAAATATAACATATGTATATCTATCAAGTACCGATATAGAACAGATACATAACGCTTCTATCCATTCTATATATTTTTTACTTACCTTCAGCTAATTTCGTTTCATCATCGTTGAATAGACGATCTTTCGATGCTGATAACAATGCCAGACCATATTTGGCCCAACATCTGGCTACATCGGCATAACGATGTTTAAATGTTTCCTGAATATCATTTTTCTGTTCTTCCGTCAAGTTGGGTGGCGTTAACATTGTTGCTTCATGTTCTGACATCACCAATGTGGCAGCAGCCAAATGATGACGTGCCTGCTTAAACATGTTTTGTCCTATGAAATACTGTGATAACGTTGCTGCATTCAAGGCAAAATCTATGGGTTCATAGGATTTGGCCTCAACCTGACGTCTCAGTGTCATGTGACAATATTGAGCAGATTTTTCCAGCTCACCCAAATGACCATAGACCTGTGCCAAATAGAATGAGCAAAGTGTATAGAGGCTTTCGAGCTCCTTGAGTCCCTTGCCGGCTTCAATTTCATCGGCCGTGCCAAAGACATCGGTTATAGCCAACGGAGTTTTCTTACTTTCCATAAATTCCTTGTACGATTTCTCTGCCTCAGCCAGATATTCAAATGATTTCTTATATTCCGTACGATTGGCATAGATAATACCCATTTCATTCATGGCTCCCATATATGGTATTATGGCTGGTGGTTCCATTTTGCGTTGCTGCACTAAATCCAAACACTCCTGCAAACATTTCTCACCCGTACTGGGCTCTTCACAGAAAACATAGATGCGGCCCAAATCACGGCACACGAAGGCCTGCAGCACTTTGTAGGTGAAATCATCCTTACCATCGTCCGCCTCTTCGGCCTGCACGGACACCAATTCGTTCTTGAGATTCTCTTTCATTTGCAACAGCAAATCCCTAGCCGCATAATGCGACCTATAGGGGTCTGTGGGTGGATCGTTTTTGCTTTCATCGTTGACAAGTTTAAAGGCCTTTTCGTAGACTTCCTTGTAGTCGCTGAGTATTTCTTTGGGGATGACCATGATGCAGTTGTTGTTGGAGCACGATTCTAATTTATCGTTTACGTAAAACGATCTATGGATATTTGTGTGTGCTGCCCCAAAAATAATTTTTCCGGAACGGGAAGCGCACGCACAGTGAAAATTTTTAGTTATGAATAACTTAGGGATTTATCAATCGACTTTGAACTTTCATGATTCGGTGTTACAAAGGTAGCCGCATCAGCACAGTTGCTGGTACAATTAGCTGTCAAAAATATTAAGTGAAAAACGAATTTTGAAGATTTATTAGCATTTTCTCAATGAATGATTTTTTTTTGATATGTTTGAAATATTATTGATCTAGAACAGTTTTTTTGTTGTAATTGGTTGCTAATAAACCTAATAAAATTTTCCTTGGCCGCAAGGTCGATTTACTTTGCATTACCATTCCCGGCATACTGTGCGGACTGCCAGAATATTAGATACCTTTGTATTTTTTTATGATTATGGAACATTGCCGGTATTGAAATACATAGGCCAGACGCGACCATAAACTTTACAATTTCCCTGAAATTTTATATATTGTACACAAAAGGTGTTAAAACATTTTCACATTCCTGTTTTTATAAAATTAAAAAAAAATGTCAAATACTAGAAATATTTTTATTAATTCAGATTAAGTACCCGCTAATTTCAATGGTTTGCGTCCTATGCGAAATGTGTGCAGGTATTTGTAATATATTAAATATATAAAAAATATCTATTGGATGCATCAATATTTAAATTATATTCCCAATACGAATATAATTTAAATTATTAAGGTATTTCCGATATATTTGCCAAAACCTGTTCTACCTTTAATTATGTTGGTATACTTTAATACTGTATTCGATGGTGTCATTTCTTTATTATAATTGTAGGCACTATCCAAAACAATAGCGGAGACTTCAATAACATCCCCAGTTAGATGAAGACACTTAGCAACCCTTCCAACAAATATTAACTCTAGATGTCACTGCAAGATAGCCTATCTCATCAAATACAACTCTGCATACAGTACTAACTCACCACTAGGTGTCTCTTTGAAAAATACAACTCTGTCACACGCATAGCTATGTTCAGTATGTATTAACTTTAGGCACACACATCATTTCTTCTATGCTCATAATTCTCATATGCATTTTCCACATATAGTTTGTATATATACAACGTTCAAAGCGGTGTTCGACGGAAGTGTGTGTCTTCTGTTTGTGATGGCACGTAGCTGGACATTGATCGCTAGACCGTTATTAGTGTTTGCAGATCTGCTCAGTGGACATCCGTCACACTATTGTTCTCCCAACATAAATTTGCCTGACAGATGTTTGGTGCTGAAGTTCTAGTGCCGGTCTTCTGTTGCATCGACGCCGGGTCGAAACGCACAGTCATGCATTGTCCGTCGGGTGTTTCTGGTGATGATGGTGGTGTCATGTCACCATTCGACCCAAGGCTCCTCGGCGGTATACAATTGCTGTGAGACCAGCATCGAATTTCCCAGTCTGTCGTTTTCAAAATTTCTTAGTTAAGTAACTTGGTAGCTTAGCTTCGGATTTTCGTAAATTTACAGTTCAGAACACTTCCATACCAGTGGCATTGCCGAGCAATTTGCCCATTAATTTTGCTTTTCAAACTGAAAAAAATATTTTTTTAATAAACAGAAGAGTGTGAGCGTGAAGTTAAAAAAATATATATGTTGAAGAAAAGAAATTAGGGAACACTACTTAGCAAGGTCAATTTATATTTATTTTCTACAAAAACAATGTTGTTTTTGTAATATAATTAGTTGTTGTAATTCATGCACACACCTTGTTACATAGCATGTTATAATAACATAGGGTAACAGGAAGTGCCTTACATTTAGTGGCGTGTAATTATATTTTATATTAAAAATCTAATAATTGATTGTTTAATAAATTAAAATTTGTTTATAATATATATTTTTACTTTGAGGATAGTAAATAAGATAATATAACCATAAAATACAACCATAAAATACAACAAACAAAAATTTATTCCAGGCAAATGCAGTAAAAATGTTTTTCATTTATATTAAATTTCAGCATTTCATTTATTTTAATTTATTTGACATGATTTTACACGCACATACACAATATATGTATTTGTATTGTACTGATTTGAAAGAACAGACCAATTTGAGTAACAATTTTAATCAGTTTGTTTGTGTAGAGAACACTCTAAATGTATCCGTTAAAAATATTAACAGACAATAGCAATAAATTAAAATATACAATCAATTAGAGCAAAACAGTTGCTATACCACATTATCAGCGCATTTGTTGAAATCATCTTTTATGGAATAGGAAATATTTTCAAAAATATCTCTTAAATAGTGAGTATAATATTTTATACCCTTCACCACACTGTGGTACAGGGCATTATGTATTTGTGCATATGTTTGTAACAGGCAAAAGGAAACGAAATAGACAAATAGTTTATTTTGAGAATATGTGTAGAATCACTTTCGGAGTCGATTTATGCATGTCCGTCTGTCCATTTTGAATTGTAAACAAAGAAAGAAATTGGCATAGGTCACTTATTTTGCCCAAGGACGAACCCTATTGAGATTGGGAAAAATTCAGTTCAGATTTAAATATATCTCCCATAAATATTATCGTCCGATTTAATGTAAATGGTGTACCAATGTCCCTATATATCTTTCGATTTGCACAAAATTTGGCACACGGTACTGAATTAGGTTTAGAATGACGTGTATTAAGTTTCGTGAAAATCGGTTCCGAGTTAGATATAGTTCCCTAATATATTTTCGTCCGATTTAATGTAAATGGTGTACCAAAGTCCCTATACATCTTTCGATTTGCTCGAAATTTGGCATAGCATACTGAATAAAGCCTAGAATAATGTGTGTAAAGTTTCGTGAGTTTCGGTTCAGATTTAGATATTGCTCCCATATATATTTTCGTCCGATTTTATGTAAATAGTGCACTAAAGTCCCTATATATTTTCTATAATAATGTGTGCGAAGTTTCATGAAAATCGGTTCAGATTTAGATATAGCTCCCATGTATATTTTCGTCTGATTTTAAATAAATGGATCCATATTCTATTGACAAATCGTACTGACGTTAATATACATTAACCTCTGACAAGTTTCCTTGAAATCGGTTCAGATATAGATATCCATATATAATTTCGAGCTATTCATGTTAATTGTACACCATAGGTTGAAGAATGACATGTGTAGGGATTGATGTTAGTCGGTTTAGATATAGATAAAGATCACATATTTAAGTTCGTTCAATTACATGTTAATGTTTCTTCAAAAAGGCGACGTCTCACAGTGGGAAAAAATGCAGATCTAGCGCGCAGAAAATAAAAGTTTTTACTGTATGTTTATCGATATTTTGGATAAAAATAGATTTAAATGGACAATTTTAATTATTTTATGAAAAAATTTGGCGATTTTTTTATTAACCCATTAAGCGCCGATTTTTTTTTTTTTAGAAAAAACTTAAATTTTTAGGTGAAAATTACTATTTTGAAGCATTTGAAATATTGTATAATAAGCAACATTTTTCGTTATAACTAATAATACTCCTAAAATGGGAGCTTCTTTTAAAAATTCCGAAACATTTGGAGGGTAAAAAGTAGGTTAAGGGCAAACATTATTGTTATTATATATATATATATATTTATTATTGTTAATATTACATATCTAAAACATTAAACTATATACAGTGGTGGCCACGTAATTAAAACATTTTCTGCGGCAAACATTTTTTGATCAGCCATCGATTCGTTTGAAGTATTTTTAAAATTGTTTTTAATTCAGAACACTTAGATATACTGCACTTAAGAGATTTGGTATGAAAATAGAAAATTATTTCTCACATACTGCAAACATATTCCGGCCTTCTTTAATAAAGACTATTGAAATCGAATCGCTCCTTTAGGTTTATTCCAAATTTTTTAAGTTTTTATTTCAAATATTTATTTATTTTAAGAAGTATTTATTGTTTTCTACTAATTCTAGCAATTTCTTTTTCATTCGGTCATTTATTTTCTATATTATGTGTGATTTTCCGAATGTTAGGTGTACTGTACAAACTGTTGCCAATATTGATAGATTTTACTGATTTTTGTAAAATTTTTTATCAGTAAATGATTTTATCGGCGATTAGTTTAATTAATTTAACAAATTTAATTAGTTTTTAAAAATAATTTTCAAAAAAACTGCAGTAAAGTAAAAAATCACACAATGTTTTATTTATGTGGCCACTTCAAAGACGACGTTTTTTCACAAATCCCGTTATTTAGGAAAAATTGCATGCTATAATTTTCTATTTTCATACCAAATCTCTTAAGTGTAGTATATCTAAGTGTTCTGAATTAAAAAAAAAATTTAAAAATAATTCAAACGAATCGATGTCTGATCAAAAAATGTTTGCCGTAGAAAATGTTTTAATTACGTGACCACCTCTGTATATTTTACAACATTTAGGAGTTACTTATTAAATACTAATCACATTCAGAATCCGAGTTTTGATCTGAATTAGTTGGTAGCATTGGATCCTCCAGTAGTTTAAGAACTTCTTCAGATAGTGACTCACTATATCGATAGTTAAGAAATGTACTACGAGACAAACTTGATATTTTTGGATCAGAAGAAAATAGCAACCTATTGAAAAGATCCTTCATTGTTTCCTCACGACTAATTTGTCTGGTGTACAGTTCCCTGTAGTTCCGAAAGTCCTTATTTCTGGATTCCATGGCATCTCCAAACAACATTCAAATGGGCAAAGCTGCACATTTAATTATATCAGCCAATTTCCATGCTGACGCTCCATTTGTTCCTTCTGGCGGCCATCCATTTCGTTTTAAATCGCGTACATAGCGTGGTAACTGTTCGTTCAACGTTTGGAGCAGCTTACTTAAATACCCCCATTTTCATTCTCACACCCAGTACTCTGGAACCTTAGGATGGACATTTTGAACTTGTTTTTTTCTTATCTGCTATGCTGTGATCTATTCCAAGTCAATTATATCAAAAAAATTCACAAATTTTTCATTTTATTTGAACAAAACCTTAAAAATTGGTATTTTTTCAAAAAATTGCCATAAATCCGAGAGT